AGCCAGGGGTGAGGAGCAGGACTTGATGGGGGGGGGAGCCAGGGGTGAGGAGCAGGGACTCCATAAGTAATAAATAAATCACCAAATTTTCAGGTGCATTAGAGTTTGGGGACAAAAGTGTCCTCAACCCCAGGAAAATCTATCTCCGAGGGGCCAAAGAGAGCCACGGGCTATTGCAGAACCGGGCAAGCGGCCAGAGGACTCGCGTGGGCGAGGCTGGCCTTCAGTGAAACCAGGGGCTCCGGGCTTTTACTTAACCAAAAGATCATAGGAAAGGCCGAAGGCTGGTAACGTGTAAAGACGGTATTTTAGGAAGAAACTGCATTCAAGAAGCTACCATTTAATAATGACAAACGCTGAGCCTGTAAGTTATGTTAGTAAGCTGGAGTTCTTTTAAAATGGCTCAAAGTGGTTATATGTAGCAGAAAACTAGGTCAAAGGTTGAATCCTAAGTGCCCTCTAACTGGGCAGAACAGAACATGTAAGGGGGGAAGGCGGTAGAATGGAAGGAGGGCGGGCGGCGGCCGGGGCTGCTCACCGAGTAGAGGTAGCGCTGGTTGAACTGCTGCAGGGCGCCTTGCAGCTGGCTGCGCTGAGACTGCCACTGCTCGAAGTCCCGCACGGACTCCAGGGTCGGCCGCTGCCACGTGGTGGTCCTGGTGTTGTGGTCCACGTAGTAGACCCGGCCCCGGTCGTCCACTCTTCTCTCCCAGCTACCGCCAGGACAGCAACAATAAAACAGACAGCCTCTCAGCAGAAGGCACCAGGAAGCAGTCATTTTACTTCAAGCAAATGACTGAAAGGTCAAGTCCAAGCCATGATAAAATAACTCTAGCACTGTGAGTTATATTCCTCAGAAAAACGGTTCACATGGAATTGCTGTTTATTTTGGATAAATACCTCCGTGATTTCTAAGCACAGCCTCGAAAAGGGGCCACGGACGGACTGTCCCGGGATCCAGGCCCTTTTCTGGGAAGCGCTCACCTCCCGAGTGCTGACTGTGCACCTGGCAACCGCCCACAGCCACTGCCACATCAGGGCGTGGACGCCAGGCTTCTGAGGGCGCTCTGCCCGCCCACCTGCGCTGCAGGCAGTCACGCCACCCACCTGCCAAGTTCTCAGGTGCAGCTCAGCACGAACCCATCCCGTTTCCAGCCTCAGTGCCCGACACCCTGATGCTCCTTCCGGGACCCACATGGAGCCACGTGCACTCCCTCCTGGCCCCTCAGAAGAGAATGCCCTTCCCCATCTCACACCTGGACACAACCGTCCCCAGGTCACCTGCAACCTGTTGTAGGCATTAATTACAGGACAATCTCGAATGCTCGCAGCAACCAGTCTCACACAAAGAGCATGCCTGGCCGTGAGCTTTTGGGACCTGGGATGGACTTTGTACTGGTGGCCAGAGCTCCCAGTGGCAAGGACGAGGAGAAGTGTAGGTTGCAGGCCGAGGGTGGACACTGAATAGTACCCGAGCTGGCTAGTGGGCAGTGTGCTCACGAGATGAAGACACAAAACCAAGGACGGGGGGTGAGTGTGAATGGCCTTTGGGGACGGGGCGACCGAAACATCTATGGTGCCCATCCCACGTGATGCAGGCCACTGTGACCACCTCTGGGCCATCACTGGGAGCCACGCCTGTACCTTCCAGTAAACCCCATGAGTAACGGAGTTCAGATCACTATCCATGAGAACATTCCTTAAACAGTTAGACAGGGACTGACATCGGACCCTCAGTAACTCAAGACAGTGTTTGACAATCTCGTAGGAAGCCCTTTAAGCCAACAAAAGGTAACCATTTGCAGAATGAGTCAAGTTCTGTCGCAAGAAGAAAACGTGAAGGCAGGTGTGAGAAGCAGCCGGAGAGGGTAAGCTGCACCTTACCCTGGGGGTAAAGGCTGTGGCCTCTCCCACGTGGTCGTTCGGGTGTTATGATCCACGTAATAGGTTCTCCCGTGAGGGTCTTTCCTCTGTTCCCACCTTTAAAAAACACAAAGGTATAAGTAAAAGACAACAAATGAGACAATCTGAAACATGACTCCCCGTTATAACCAAGGAATTACAGGTTTCCCTTTAAAAGTCTAAATATATATCATATTGTTATTTCTTTTCTCAGTTACTAGTGCCTTTCTTAAGTTTTTCCTTTCTCATAAACCTGTAAGTATAGTCAGCAGAAGACAGAATATGTAATGTTTTTATTTTTATTATTTTTTAAGGGTATATTTTTAATTGATTTCAGAGGGGAAGGGAGAGGGAGAGAGAGAGAGAAACATCAATGATGAGAGAGAATAATTGATTGGCTGCCTCCTGCACAGTCCCTACTGGGGATCGAGCCCGCAACCCAGGCATGTGCTCTCAACTGGAATCGAACCTGGGACCCTTCAGTCTGCAGGCCGATGCTCTATCCACTGAGCCAAACCAGCTAGGGCAGAATATGTAATGTTTTTAAAAAGACACTGATTGACAGAGTTCCAAATCATCAGAGGAGACATTTAATCAAGGGCAGAGGAACTTTCAGTCTAGCAAGCCCGAGGCACAAATGTCAGGGCAGTGACAGCCAATTTTGCCTGCGATTTCAAAACCACGCATCTGAAAGCTGCCAGCAGGTCCCGCCTGCAGAAGCCAGGACCCCTGCTCCCTGCAGGCCTCCCTCTGGGCACCAGGGTCGCCTCTGTGCACAGCTGTTTCGCTCTGGCCTGCAGACATTCCACTGTCTTCCCTGTTCCACTCCAGACTCTACTCCCCATCGCACGCTCTCCTCTGTGCTCCCTGCTGCTTCCTCTCGTCTTTCCGTAATGGTAGATAAGACACATTTTAAACATACAAAATAAAGACCTGGCATTCCCGAGTTTAACATGCTTGTTTTCAATCTGAAAGAACAGAAAATAGTTTTCTTTGTCAAAAACACAAGGACCCAGTTAAATTTGGTTTCTTTTTGATTAGGGAGGCCTTGCTGATTTCCCCATGCAAGGCCCACACTTACTGAAGCTGCTCCCTGATGAGTGCACAGACACACACATGTGCACACGCACACACTCTAACACTCGCCCCCTCCCAGCTGCCGCACACACAGGCGGGCAGGGCCCTTCCTTACAAGACTCTGGAGACCCTCCTGGCAGCTGAGCCAGGAGCAGGCCTGCCTCCCGCCCCTCCTCCTTGTCCTCAGTAACTGTGGGGACTCGTCCACCTGGTTTTGGAGAACATGGTCCTGGGGTTGCCAAGGAAGGACATGGCAGAAACTCGGTGAGCCCAGGGGTGCCTCCGCGGGGCGCTGGACAGAACTCGAGGTGCAACCCAGGCCCCACAGCAGTGGGGGCACTGGCTACCGCCTCCAGCTTTGTGTGTGGCCTCTGAGCGGCCGATGCCACTCGGAGCCGCTGACACCTGCTTGCCCCTTTCTAATCTAACCCCTGAAATGCTTGGGGGTTTTTCTTCAGCCCCAAATGCACTCAAATTCTCACAAAAGCAAAGGCAGGACCTGCTCGTGTTGGTGTCTCAGAGCCAGCAGCCCTGTGAGCAGCTGTGGACACGGGAGGGAGACACAGGTGGAGGCGGACTCTTCCCTGCACAGTTGTGACTGTGTGAAAAGTAGGGATCAAAAACCACGGAGCAGCTACGAGAACCGGGTCTGGAGCTGACCACCGTCAGTGCTGGGGGACCCCCCAACTCAGGATTCAGAGGAAAGGCTGCTTGTTCTCGAGCTGGGGTGCAGGGGCGGACCGCAGAGGGTGTGGAGACAAGGCCACGCTCGGTAGCCACGGTCAAGCTCAGGAAAAGGGAACTCCATGCAGAGGGGTCAGGAGGGCCTGCCAGGCGATGCAGCTGCCTCTCTGCCCTCTGTCCGCGCTTCAGGGAGGGGACTGTGTGCTCTGACCCGCCAGGCACTGGCTTTGCACAAATGAACAGCCTGAATCACACCTGCAGAGCCATCACTGGGAAGTCTGACACTTGGTCAGCATCAAAGGCCATCACATGGGGGAAGAGAAGGGGAGGGTAGGGGAGGGGAGGGGACGGGACGTACCCCGAGGGCAGGCTTTCTGGGCTGGCGTTCCTCCCAGGCTCCACACTCCCACCTGGCTGCCGCAACTTGGCTGCTTCCAAGGCCGAGCTGCTTCCAGAGGCAGAGGCTGCAGGGTCCAGGTCGCAGGTCCCGGCCCCGAGTGCCGTGCCATCAGGGGCGACACAGCCATTGCGCTCTGAGGGTGCCGGTGCTTCTGGGCCCGGGGCCTGCTCACCAGTGGATCCAGGGCAAGTTGAGGCCCAGGCACCATCCTCAGGGACCCCCGCCTGCTCTGAAGCAGGAGCATCCTCCTGCGGTGCCCTTGCCGGTGAGGACGACTCTCCATTAGCTGCAAAGGCAATGAACAGGCCATGTGACTCGGATGACAAGGCAGAGCCCAGCGCACACAGTGGGGCCTCAGGGACAGACGAAAATAAAACAGGACAGACTCCATCTTCTGTTGCTCACATTTTAGAGATAAATATGTGAACAATAAAAATTTAAGAAAAAAAGTACTTATATACAAAAAACCTTAAGGAAAGAGAAACCAACGTTAGGATAATAAATATTTTTCCTCCAAATGATCAATTCTGAAAGTCTGCCTGGGCATCAACTTTAGGGTGACCCTCTGCTGCAGGTGCCAGGGAGGGCGCACAGGGCCCGGACTTAGCCAGCCGTGCAGGGACTGCCCAGTGCCCGGGCCCCCCACCAGTTCCGGAGACCCAGCCCAGCACTGGGTCCATTTCAACCACAGGCACTGGAAAAGGGAGTCTAAGAAAAACTGCAGAGAACAGACTGCTGAACAAAACGATGAGAAGATCACACACCACAGCTCTGACAGGTGCCAGGCCGGCCTGCAGACAGGAGGAGTGGGGCAAGCGGGCTCCCCAGCGGTCAGACCTAAGTGCACGTTGCAGGTCAGTGCGTCCTGCACCAGGTGTGGGAGAGAATGGCTTTGGGGAAGATACAGGCAGCATAGGACAAGGAACAACCCTCACAGTCAGTGTTTCGACAGTGTCCAAGAGGATGGAGACAGGACATGCCCAGAGACACCCCTGCTCCCCCCGCTAGCCCCCCTCCCGCCGTGCTCTCAGGAGCCTCCTCCTCAATGTGTGCTCCTCAGCAGTGAGCCCTCCTTCACACGAGAAAACGCGGCAGCATCTTCCCAGCAGAACAAGATGAAATGGGAACCAGAACAAGAACCGCCCGGGCCTGGGCCCTGTGGAGTAGACAGCGGCCCTGCAAGAGCTACAGCGAGTGTGCTCAGTGTGCCACCTCTCCCGGCCGCCCCGGCCGCCACTCCTGCTTAGGTTACAGCAACAGCTCCTGCCTTATCCCACCACGGCCCACTCTCCAGACGCAGACTAACCCAGCCAGGGTCCCTTCCACACCTGTCCCACGGCCACACCTGACTGCACAGTGGTCTTTCTGCCCTCCCACCCAGGGCTGTGCCTGCACTGTGGGTCTCTAAGTCTCAGAGGACCCTGCTTCCCCTCAAGGAGAGGCCTGCTCAGTGGCGCCGTCAGGATGGTGTCTGGAGCATCCAATCCAGTGTGGTCCCCGCTGCCCCACCGGCTCCCTGTTATATGTGGGTTTCTCGGTTGTGAATATTCTATTTCTTAGTGTTTATTTATTTTTCATTAAAGTGCAAAAAATTGGTCAGATTTTCTCACTTATGTATTCCCAACAGCTACAAAGTGCATGGCACATGCAAACAAAAAAAACTTGTTGAACCAATAAATTAAAGACAAATCAAAAAAGAACTAACCATACCTCTTTCAAAACTATGCAGATAACAAAGCATTAGTAGAAATATAATTAATATTTAAAATGTAATTAGAAATAATTTTGAAATACTAATATAATTCATATATGAAGGATTTAATAACACAATCAATACCCCTGACCTAAATTACAGAGGTAGAGAAGTAGTTTTGAGTTTCTACTATATATATATTCCATCCAAACACACTAAGAATTTTTGGAAAATCTGACATTTGTAAAGGCCAAAACAAAGTCCTCAATTCTACAATCAGGAGGCGACATTCTGACCATGATTCAATAAGAATAGAATGAAAAGAACAAAAGGCACCGCCGTGTTTCCTGGAAGCCTGGCATCGGACTTCTCGTCATGCCCTCGTGCCCAGCGCTGCGCTAGTCCTGTGAGAAGCTCCATGGAGAGGTGGGGGAAGGAGTGGGAGACCTTCCTGGGCATCACTGCAACTTCCTGTGAATCGATAATTATTGCAAAACAAAACAAAATGCTAAAAACAGAAGTCCAATAAACTTGTGAAACCAATTAGTCATGCCTAAAACTTACCATGCTGAACTATGGTCTGTTTTATTAATAAAACAATCTATATATATAAAAGCCCAATATGCAAAGTGTCCTCTCAGGAGTTCAACCGACCGGGAGTTTGATCACTCACTATGACATGCGCTGACCACCAGGGGGCAGTGTGAAACAAAGGAAGGCCCCAGCCGGCAACCGCGAGGGACCCTACCCATGTATGAATTTCGTGCAGTGGGCCTCTAGTCCTATCTAATAAAAGAGAAACATGGTAATTAGTGTACGTCCACTACCCTTCCCATTGGCTACTCACGGAGATATGCAAATGAACTGCCAGCCAAGATGGCGGCCAGCAGCCAGGCAGCTTGAAGCTAACATGAGACTTGCTTGATTCAGTGATGGAGGAAACCAACGTTCCCCGCCTGCCTTGCCAGCCTCTAGGCCTGCAGTTTGAAATATTGTTACAAATATAGAAGCTAAACAAAACCCCAGAAACCTGATTTCAGCGAGCCAGGATCTCAGAGCTGGAGTTGATACAGTGTTTCGATTACAGAACACAAACAAACCAGATACCTGCTTTCACCAGCAGAGGCCTCAGAGCTGGAGCCAGAGCTAAAGCTGGCCCAGAATAAAAAAAAGAAAAAGAAAAAATG